TTACATTATATTTAAAACTATGTATTACATAAAATAAAAGGTTTTAGTTGATCAAGTGAAATAGGTGTTATTAAATTAATCACTCTTGGTGCAGTAAGACTGATTTGTTAAGATTTCTGTGTCTAAATAAAGGAAATATAAGGCAAATATTTATTTTATGCGGTATAATGCTTTATATAAATACATTTGAGTAATTAACTTTTTTAATCATGAACATATTTTACAGTATACATTATTTTTCCCTGCATCTTTTTAGTTATGTAGGAAAGAGCTTGAAACTGCTTTAGAAGATAAACGTGAACTTGCTCAGATACTTCTGGAGAAAGAAACCAGTTTAAAAGAACTTAATAAAATAAAGGATCAACAGGCAGCTGTAATTGATGAGCTTCAGGATAAATCTCAGGAAATAAAAGCATCACTTGCTTTGGAGCAGCAAAGGTAACCATTATGGCTTTGAGATAGCAAAACACTTTCCAGCTTCATTGTTTGCATAACACATATTCATGGAATTCATTTATTGATTCTTTAAATGACATATTGTTTGTAATTTATTTACCTAAAGGACAAGAGAGCTTGAAGATATTTTAAATGCAGTTTCTGAGGAACTAAAGAAGAAGGCATGTGAATTAGGTATCACAAATACTTTATTTAAATTTAAATATATTAATTTCCTGCATGTTTATATTTTCTTAATGTTACATTTTAAAATTTAATTTAAATTGTGGATTTATTTCTGTACATTCCAGGAACAATAGGAGATGAAAAGAGCGAGAAGGAAAGACAAATTAAAATTCTCAAAGATGATTTGGTAATTTTTTATTTTTACCATACAAATACAAATAATTATATACTTTTTATTTGTGGTTTTGTTAAAACCCAAAATAAAGTTGTCAGTGTAGTGGTTAATAACATTTCAATTGCTTGACATACAAGAGACAAAATCAGAAGCAATATAAAATAATAAGACAATTAAAATTGTCTCAAAATTTTATAAAATAGATATGCAATTAAAGTGCTTTAAAAGTTGATACAAACGAGTGCGCAAGCAGAGTAAAACCATAATTGAATACTATGCATTCTGGGATAATTTCAAAATGAAAATATAGCATGTAATACAGTATATTTATAAGAGACTAATAACAAAACTTAATGCTTGCATGGTTCAGGTTTGTTTCATACTAAAAATAAGTAAAAAGGTAGAACTGGAAATACATATAAAACATAAAATTAACTATTTTACATTACATTTACATTACATTACATCTATTACATTTAGGGAGTGTGTCACCACTGATATTTGATTTCCTTGTACACTCAGAAAATGTCACGATATTAGTTCCCCCGCCTTAAGGGTGCTCCAGCCCTTTTACTTAAGACTTTATTTTCTGCACCTGTTCCCTATTCCCAGCCCACCTTAAAAGCCAGGCGCTGACGCTCATCCGGTCTCTGCATCTGATTTCCATATCGTGCGAGTCCGGGACCTGGAAGCGCCTGGTCCCTTTAAGGTTTTAACCCCTGTTCCTGTTCCTTGTCCCCTGTCCGCCGGTTCCGACCCGGCCTTCGTGGTTTTAACGTCGTGTTTTGATGGATCTCCTGGTTTTGGACTTTCTCGTGTGTTTTTGGATACTCTATGGATTACTCTTTGGGATTGTTCGCCTCGGCCACACCTCCCCCGTGCACCAGCGCACCTTGGACACGCCCCCTCTCAGCCCCGTTTTCCTGCATGACGTTTCCCTAGTGTTCCCTCACTCCGTCGGACTGTGTCGTCCGCATAGGGTCCGGAAAGAACTGTTCGTTACAGAAAAAGAATGCAGAATTCCATGTGTCCTTTTGTTCAGCCATTAAATTGTACACATAATTAAAATATATTATAAGGCCTTAAAGAATGTAGGCTTATTCATTCTATTGCATTATTAAATTTCCCAAAAAGGTTTTCTTTAATTCATCAAACTACTGCTTGACTTTCTGTTGAATACTAGGTTCAATTAAAGAGTTAATGGTATTTTTGTTCTGCTGGGAAAAAAAGATGCTGGGTTCACAGAGTTAGAGTTTGATAACACTATATCTAAGAACACATTATTCAAAAAAATGTTTTTGTTGTAAGTGTAACTTTGAATATGAATAACTATACAGTATACATTTTTTATGATAAAAGGATGTTATTACTAAGTCCCTGGAACTGTTAGAAGAGAAGTTCAAAACAGAGGAGTCAAAGTCAGGACAACTTGTTGCTGAACTTGAAGTTAAAAACACTGAAATTTGTAAGTTAAGGGTGAGTGAAATTGTTCTCAAACTATGACTTCAAATAGTTCTTAATACTTTTTCCATATAAAATGGGTAATTGGACAGTTATGCTAAATTCTAACAGTAGTGTGAAATATTGGATAATTATAAGTTAAAACTACCAGATTTTATCAGTAGCCATTTAGGATTTTCCACTTGTTAGTAATGTCATGCTACTAATAAATATAGCAAGAGGGAATATCTTTATTTAAAAAATAAACATGGAAGAGATGTTCATATCACAATGGGTTAGGTATGCTCTGAAGCAAATTTAAGTCATTCAATGATTTTGGATACAATATTTGTATTTGTACCGTCTAATTTCTCAGGAAAAATCTTTAATTTGTGTCATTAGTAACTGCTGCTATATGATGTATAGTTGAAAAAAAAAGTAAATTATGTTGCTTAGGTGTCTGTCCATGTAGCAGAGAAAATTTAAAATAATACCCATTGCTTGACATTGTCAGAAGAACAACCTCAACATTTTTGTGCTCCACTCAATAAATATGGTAGATTCTTAGAATAAGTGGAATATTATATTCACTGCTTTCACATTTTTGTAAAGTCAAATGAGCCTTTGAACAGATATTTAATTTCTCCTTTACATTTTTCTTTAACAATAATAAATTCCCATTTTGTGTAGAATATAGGTCAGATTAATTCTGTAGAAAAAAAATACATGGAAGAGACTCTACAAGAATTACAGAAAGACCAGAAAAAATGGAAGGACACTGTGCAAGACAGAGAAGTATGTTTCCACATTTTAACTTTAGTGGTTAACTAATTTTTTACTAATATAAATGGTGACATTTTCTTTAAACCTGTTTATGGTAATCATTTACCTATTTGTATTGGATGTCTGAAATGGAGTACAAAATTTAAGCTCTGTTTAATGGAATTTTGTTTTTGTTACTTGTAAGAATACCTATATGAAAATGACATAAATTTCTATCTTTCTCAGAGAAAAATATGTGAAATTGAAGAACAGTTATCTGCAGCTCTTGGGAAAGTGGTGGTACCACAGGAGGAAATGGAAGATTTAAAGAAAGACTTAAAACAACAACAGTGTGTCATTTTGTTTGTTTTTAATTTAGTTACACCATAACTTTTACCAAATTGGAGAGCTTTTGAAATTAAGATTTTAGGGATCTTAGGTTGTATTTTAAATGTCTTATGAAAATTAGCACAGATACTGTACATACAACACAAATCTCTTTAGGATTCACTATAGTGCATTATGGGATGCTTTGTCCAACATCTGCCTAAATAATTAATATATTTTTTCAAATATGTGATAGATTACATTTGTAACTAATAGACAGTGCCTTAACCCTGTTTGACCAAAAATGATGAAGTGCATGCTTTTAAGTTAGCAACTGTGAGCCATGTTAGTGGCTAAACTAGAATGTATCCAACAATGAGTTACAAATTATTAAAACCTAGCAATGTATTGTATGTGTATCTTCACTGACTCTAGTAGCAATTTTCCTAATATACTAAAATGTATCCATATGGTACCCATCTTATTGTATATGGAACATTTAAAACTTTAATAGCTTAATTGCCTAATATGGTTATATTAATATGATTGCCTCTACATTGACAATGTTATATTTCACTGTTTCTTAAAAGGGAAAAATATCAAGAGTTAATGTCAAATTTTAACAAACTACAAACAGAAAAGGAGGATGCTATCCATCAGATGAAGAGTGAAGCTGTTAATGTTAAAAACCTTGAAGAGTACCTGAAGGTTTGCATGTCAAAATATTGATTTTAAAGAGTTTGCTACCTATGGAAGAGGGTCATCCTATATTGAGTCATATTATAGAAAGGGATATATTTATAATGAAAATTAAAAATATTTTATGTTGCTAACATTTTACACCAGTGAAAGTTTGATAAACAAAAAGGAATATTTCTTAAATTTTCTTAAATATGCTATT